GTGCGCAGTCCGTTCAGCTTACGACAGAAAAAATACTGCATGTCACATTTTGTCAGGTCCGGAAATGGTCCGGAAACGCAAACGCGTCCAAAACGCGGCAAAAACGCACTGCATCAGTCTGCAGATCCGCACCTGATCAGGACCTGATCTCATGTGAACAGGCCCTTAGTGGAGGCATATAGCAAAATGCTAGAGAAACTGGCATGGACACAAGAGCAGGGGCATCCTGAGGTTGGGTGTTGCCCGGAGCTGAGAAGGGTGACACCCCGCCATGACATCATCGCACATGTGCGTGGCTGCACGATGACGTTATCGCGCATGTGCTGTCTTTTTATTGACGCCTGACGGTGGCCATCTTGGTGATGGACAACGGCAGAGAGAGGAGGAGACGTTCACCAAGTGGGATGAGGTATGCCACTGGGTCCCCTCCTCTCTCCGGACACTGTCGGGCTCTCGGCCCATGACCGAGTGCCTGACTTTTCATAGTCATTTTGGTGTCACCCTTCCAATGGTGGCACCCTGGTGCGGGCCGCACCCCATGCGTGGCGCCACTCCACAAGAGCATCTGCATAGCAGTTTCTACTTTATTAGGATAAACAACTGATATTTCCATAATCATTAATAATGTATTCTGGGCATTTCTAGGTGTTAACTAATCATTCAAACAGTGGCGTAACAATCGCCATAGCGACCCTGGCGGCCGCTATGGGGCCCGGGGCACAGGGGGGCCCGGCCAGATGCCGAGCGGACCGCCTGGGTCACTATGGCATCCTCTGCTGGTGGTTTTCACTGGCGGCTCTGAAGAAGAATGCGCTGCTGTTCAGATCACTGACCGTAATCTGTGCAGCAGCGTGTTCGTCTCCAGAGCCGCTACTGAGTCAATAAGAGCCACAGCTGCGGTGGAGGAGGCCGGACCCGGCAGGGGAGAAGGCGGGGCCCGTGGTCAACAGCAGGGGAGGAGGCGGGGCCCAGTGATGGAGGAGGCGGGGGCCTATCAGCGAGCGTGGAGGAAGAGGAGGCGGACAGGTAAGGAGTGCGACCAGCCCACCTGAGGGTGACCCTGCAGAGCCCACCATAGAGAGTCTATGGTGGGCTCTGCAGGGTCACCCTCAGGTGGGCTGTGTGGGATCTCAAGTGGGCTCTGAAAGGGGTATAACTAGAAATCACAGGGCCCCATACAAAATTTTGCTATGGGGCCCTGTGATTTCTAGTTACGCCCCTGCATTCAAATATGTATTAGATATATTGTGAAATCAAATGTGAAAACTGTTTTAAAACTTGTTATGTATCCTCGGCACAAAATAATTAATATCGACAGTTCTGGCTCCTAAAAACTCCTGCCGCCTCCTGGATTGGACAGACGGGCTCTTGAACTCCAGATTAATTTGTCCGTCCCTGCCCCGAGTAATGGGAGAACAGTCAATTCCTTGTACTTGTATTTACTTTACCTTCTGTACTATCACTAGTAGAGAGACACAGAGGAGTAAAAATAGGACAACAAGGTGGAGTGCAGTGTGATGAGTCTGTGTGTGTGGAGGATAAAACTGACAACATTACCTAAAATCGCTTTGTTTGAAGATTTAATTATAATGATTTATTTCCTCCCTCTCAGTTCTATTTCTCTGTGTCATTCGGGTGTTTCTGGGTGTCATTACCTGTAATTGAGTTCTAGTCCTGCCCTCAATTCATTTTTGTTAATTTGCTGCATTATTTGTAGTTTGTATTATTATAGAGATGATTACACTATAAGTGAATCTCTATGTTGCTCATTGTGGGTCTCTTCTAGCTCCGCCTCCTCCGCTATATATGCTTAGTTCTCTTCTGTGTTCCCCCTTTTGCCCCCATGGGGCCAAATAAAGATTCCCCAGTGAAAGCTCCAAGTTGGTGGGATCAGAGCTTACACCAGGCTGAGGATATCTTTACACTACCACGTCCTGCACAGCAATGCACGTGTTTTCCCTTGCGGCGCGCTGCTTTTAAAATGAATGGGCTGTAATGCACCCCAATGCATGAAAATATAGGGCTTGCAGTGCACTACTGTGCATGTTGTGTTAAGGAATGCGTTCTATCACCCATTATTGTGTGATTCGCATTAGCCTGGTGTGAACGGGCCATAGGAACTCTCCCACTGCCTCCGTGTGCAATCCAACCTGTTGATTGGCCACTCGGGCACCCAGCACTATATAGTGGAAGGAAGAGGGATGAACATTACTTTGTTCTGATTGGACATAACACAACTTCAGTTTAAAACACATCGATTTAAATGGCATAAAAAGGTCTGGAGGGCCCTGCTCATGAGAGTTTACAATCTAAAGGGAGGGGCAAGTGATATAAAATCTAATTGCGATCTAGAAAATAAATGCGCGCAGTGAATAGTATGATGCATTTAGGTGATGGGCTGTCGCTGTACCCCCTGTGTGAAGACAGAGGGCGCTGTTGCAGCCAAGGATTTGCAGTCACAGTGCCTGTCTGGGGTCTCTTCCCTTTTGTTCCCTAGACTGTGTGTCAGCAAAAAGTGCACTCGTCCTGCGTGTCTCTTCACGCTGCATGCAGAACCAGCTACAGCATGCAACCCACCACATGATCTTATAATAATAACTATACCAGCCGCTGAGGTTCAGTACGTAGTGCCAGTGTGTATCAGCTGAGGGGGATCATATCCAGAACACACTTGCCCCTGGGGTCCCTATGCTGCATTAGGAGCGCCCAGTAAGGGCCCATTCACACAGTCTAATTGCGGTAATGCGTGCTGTTACCACAACGTGGGTTGCTGCATGTTGAAAGGGGTTCTGAATGACACCCTACCGCACCTGTTGCGAAACATGCATTTGCAGCCTAAGGCAAAGCACTAACTGCGCCGCATGCACCATTTTTTTGCAGTGCACTACACCACAACGCATGTAAATGCGATAGAATAGCACCCCAACGCACCTGCCAGTGGAGGTGATTTGCAATGCATCACTACACGGGGCAAGGCATGCACCATTTTTTGGGCAGTGGACTACACCACAACGCACATTAAACGTGTCAGTTCCATTTTTTTCGTGGTATGCAGTGTATCGCAAAAGCCACTAAGGGCCGGTGCACACCTAGGCGACACCCCACCGGATTGCTGCGCGGTCAGGAGTCGTCCAGGCATGCACCGATCGCGCTGTAGGTGCCATTATTTTCCAACGGCACCCCAGTCGCAGAGAAAAAAATGAGCAGAAAAAGGTACAAGTATCTTTTTTCTGCGATACACGACGCGCGCGGCTGTTTCCGTGTTCGGAAGCACGGGCAGAATAGCGGCGATAAAACCGCACGATCCGGAAAATATTGGCACCCTCAGCGCAATCGGTGCACACTCCTGACCGCGCGGCGATCCGTGCGGAATTGTGTACGATTGCCACGCAGTGGGGTGTCGCCTAGGTGTGCAGCAGCCCTGATGATGTGGAAAGCGTAGCAACCAATAAAAAGCTGGCAGGAGACTCAACAGCCAGGCTCCACCCATAATGTCACCTTTGGATGAACCCGCCATTTAACCTGCTTTATGTGCGGTGCCAACTCGCTGTACAGTAGAGCCCAAAGCACTGCGCCACAACACATACACCGTCCATTGTGGTGCGCTGCATTCCTAAAAAAGGGTCATGGGTGTGTTTTCACCCGTTGTGGAGTGTTGGCAGCCTGTTCATAACCAACGCAACGCAGGTTAACGCATGCCATACTACGTGTTAATGTATGGGCCCTAAGGGTCACCATACACGGAACAATCTGACCATACAACCTCTGTACAATCAACTTTATATTTACCAAAACTATGTAATATGAGGACCTACCTGACAGGGGCGTACCACGTGACACCCCGCAGTGACGTCATCGCGCATGCGCGGTCATCTAATTGACGCCCCCTGGCGTGGTGATGGATGCTGGCAGAGAGAGGAGGGGCCATTCACCCGGCGGGATGAGGTATGCCGCCTGGTCCCCTCCTCTCTCCTGACACTGTTGGTCTTCTCGGTCCATGACCCAGTGCCCGACTTTTTAGAGGGGGTGACACCAAAATGACTTTGAGTCATTTTGGTGTCAGCCCTCCAATGGTGTCACCTGGGTGCAGGCCGCACCCCTTGTGTGCCGCCACTGCTACCTGAACTATCCAACCAGGTGGGCCCTTGCACTACATACTTGTTGGTAGATCTAAAGGAGATTGTACAATCTGATTGTAACACGTGTGTGGTGAGCTTCCAATAAAAAAAAGGAACCATAGGGGAGCGTCTGCCAACTCTATTAAAGCCCAACGTTCAAATCTTACAGATAGTTTTCTTTAAAAAGCAGCCACAGCCTGCATAGAAAAGCCTGTCCCCCTGCCAGCATGCTGCAGAGACGCAGTGGCCTCTTTGCTGAGTCACAGCTATAGCTCTGCAATCCACAAGGGGTTGGACCTCTGCAGAGAGACCACTGCTTCACCAACGAATAGTCCTTCTCTGCAGAATGCTGGCTGGGGACAGGCTTCTGTACTCAGGCTGTGGCTGCTTTCTGGAGGAATCACATTGTAGCACTTCTCTTATTGATGCTCCTGCAATAGATTTAAAGGGAAAGTTCCGCTGGCCATTCAATGATTCCTTTTAGCAGTCACTGTGTATCACGCGCCTCCTGCTGGGGTATCTATCGCTGTATATTTGTATTTACGGAGGGTTATTTTCCAAACATTCCGTTATGTATCTTTTATAATGTATTTACATCCAAACAATGATCTTAGAAGATTCAGATCCCCCCAGCTCATCAGACCTGGGGGAGCTGAGACTCTATGGTACACATTTCTATGGGATCTGAGGAAAGGATAGGGATCACACATGTCATGTCCCTCCTCACCCCTCCTCCATCTCTCTAACAATCACTGATGCCTGTGTGGCTGATGCAGGATGTGCCCCTCCTCCTCAGCGCTGGGCCGGTCCTCTCCTCTTCAGC